TACATGGGTATACAACTTGATTTTCTATAATATGTACATGGGAATGCAACTTGATTTTCTATAATCTGTACATGGGTATACAACCTGATTTTCTATTATATGTACATGGGTATACATCTTGATTTTCTATAATATGTCATGGGTATACGACTTGATTTTCTATAATATGTCATGGGTATAAAACTTGATTTTCTATAATATGTCATGGGTATAAAACTTGAAACATAAGTGTCTTTTGCATCTACCCATTCCGTGGAAACATTTTTTCTAACTATGCACGGTTTATTGTATGGCACGTTTTTACCTTGTCGCGATCAGCGAGGTGAGTCGTCACGGTTGATCTTGTTTGTGACTGTACACAACGAGTCCAGTTTGATCAACTGCACCCGTTCATAATCATTTTGTCCAAATTATACCAAAATATTTGTTACATAATGTTTTCATAACGCGTAACTAAATCCTTGCATATAGTCTAAATATTTTCCTAAAATGTACTTTGCATATTTATTTATAACTCTTATCTGTGGTGTCACAGTGTGGTGGTTCGTCACGGAGAGTTTCTTATGCCTGTGTACAATCAAATGGCCTGTTCTCCGTTCCCCCACTTTTTAAAATAACATGGGGAGAAGAATGTTAGAAGGACTATAGTCTGTTTCTTAGTAGTATTGGCAGTATTTACCTGTATTTGTATCTGTAGTTAACCCTTTTATCTAAGGTGGTGTTCTATCTAAGCTGGAGCTGCTCAATTTAATAATACCTCACATAAGATTTTCAGATTTCTAATATTCTTGATATACATCTTATAATATTTCAATATTAATTTTAAATATATATTCAATGTTAAATATATCCACTTTTTAGTCATTGTGCTACTGATATGACATGATAAGATGAAATGTGTTATTTTATTTGAAATAATTTTGTGCTTTAAACATATTTTAAATTATCATATAATTATGAAATGGGTTTATTTTCTTTATTGTTGTAATATGTAACAGGATGAACTAAATACCCAGTCAGAATTTTATGTGTGACTAAGAGTGCGATGTTTAACAGTTGATAATAAAACTTTAAAAAAACGAAATTCATCTAAAATCCTAAAATCCTAGAATAAAAATACTATAACATCATAGAAATATTTGAAGATCTATAATTATCCAAGCTATTATTTCCATCCTGGTGAGCTAGAAGTGCTCATTATAAGTTAAACCATTATCTAAGCACACCTTGAGAACTGAACGATGGGTTTTATGGAGTACGCGAATGCAGCATCACATCTCTTACATCTTGTATAGATTACAACAAAAATGTGTGACATTTGCGATAACAGTTTTGTTTCTTTGCCTGTCCTTTTTTATTATGACGCAACAACCCACATATGTTTTAATACTACTGTGGTACACATTCGGCTACATCGGACATACACTAATATGGAAATACATCTGTTTCATCCCAAGAAACACCTGTCGCAGTTTTGAGAAATTTGCATATCACGCCACGGAATCAAAAGTCCGAGAAACCCCCATCACTTTTATAGATACATGTATACTGAATATGGCTATACCTAATATCTCAGCAGTTCAAACATTCATATTCAATTGGCTTGATATCTATATCATGCATTTTCGCTAGTAAAAAAATATTTACTCATTTCTTTTTCCCCGTATTCATAAATGCCAACTTGAGGGAATATGGGCAGTTTTATTTAGCTTGTCTTGTATTTGGTGGCTTGAACGTGTAATGTAAAAGAAGTGTAATGTATAAGTACTGATATTTAGCTGTATATTTAGTTATTGTTATATCTGTATTGTACATCATATATGCATGAGTGAATTTTAAATTATTAACCTAAAAATTGATAAACAGGCAATTAAGTGTTTATCATTTTATTTCATCAATTTCCTTCCCCCTTCCCCATTTATGTTAATTAAAACTGAAACAATATCTTTCCAAAAAAAAACCACTTATCACACTCACAGAAAAGCTACAGGTCACAGACAGGTAACTTTCACACAGGTAAGTTACATGTGTGGGAAGTTTGAAACAGACTATAATTGGTTTGCCATTGTCTTCCTATATATCAACACATTGTTTTGTTCTCTAAAAAGTGGGGGAACTGAGAACAACCCAATCAAATTTACCCTCCCGTAATGGAATAGCCTAATTTATATTATACACGTACTAGATTACCCGTGATGACGACACCGCTTTCTGATTTTAAATTAAAAGTTAAATTTGTACTCTAAATAAGCAACTATGCGAACCGCTGTAGAATTGTTTATTAAATACAGTATAGTCATAAACTTCTCGCAAAATCAAAATTAAATTACATTTGAATATAAGCTTGCTTCAAGCAGATTTTGAAAAAACCTGTTCATGCTATATTTAGTTTTTATATATATGTATATGTAATGTGGTGAATAGTGTATCTCCACAACAGGACTTGTTTATTTTGTCATATTTTGTCGTCCATACATCTCATGTATCACATAGCGCTCCACCAGTTAGATACCGGTTGATGTCTTGTCGATATTTAATTAAACTGTGGGTACATGACATACATGGAAGTAACATGTTATATGATACATCCAAACTTGTTTCTGATATACTCTATATTTATACTCTAACCTTTATTGATAAAAATGTGTCGTTTAATTTAGGATTTAAAATGCTTGTACTGTTGTGTAATGATATGGTACTTAATCCTGGACCTCTGCACAATCTCCGTATTTTCTTATCTTAATGTAAGATAAACTAGAAATAAGTTAGATATAGTAGACAATGAGAATGAAAATGATATAATATGTCTCACAGAAACGCATCTTAACCCATTAATACCAGATAGTGACCTTACTTTAGACAGTTTTTCTCGTGATTTCTATCGAAGGGATAGGCAACTAGGATTTGGAGGTGGAATTGTTATATAGCGTAGAAGAGATTTGAAATGTAATGAAATTGAAATTATTTGGTTAGAAGTTACAGTTGATAACCATAAGTTACTCATAGATTGCATCTATAGACCTGAATCTGCTGTTGAATACTGGAGAAAACTAGAACACAGACAGGTCAGTAAGGGCCCCGTCCTGTGGCAATATACTCCCCATAAACATCAAGAAGCAATCTGCCCGTATAGCTGAGTTTGACGTTTGACATTTGGACTTCAAAAAGAATCGCGAGGAAGCAAAAATATAAATACTGGTGCAATACTCATTGGTTAGCTTTGATTTGTTTAATTTCACCTTAAATACCTCCTCAATCAAGAGCCAGGGTCAAAGTCCGATATCTACTTTGTCTTTGACCTTTGGACACAAATGACCTTGACCTTTAACCCAGTGACTCTGACATTGGTCGGTTGACTTATTCTTTAATTCCGACCAACTTTGCTTCATAATATCATAACAAAATAATCATCAGTTAAAAATACAAAACTTGACCTTGACCTTGAACCTTTGGACCCCGTAACCTGGACCTTAGGTCAGTTGACTCCGTGTTCTTAACAACTTTGCTTCATAATAACATAATTAATATTCATCAGTAAACAAAGTACAATATTTAACCTTGACATTAACCCAGTGACCTTGACCTTAAGTCAGTGAACTCCTTGTTAAATTCCGACCAATTTTGCTTCATAATGTCATAACAAAATGTTCATCATTGAAAAGATACAAAATTTGACTATGACGTTTGACCAAGTGACCTTGACCTTTGAGCAAATGACTCCTTGTATAATTCCGACTAACATTGTTTCAAAGTGTCATAACGAAATGTTCACCTGTTAAAAGATATTAATTTGATCTTGACCTTTGACCCAGTTACCTTGACCTTAAGTCAGTTGACTCTTTGTTAACTTCCGACTAACATTGCTTCAAAGTGTCATAACAGAATGTTCACCAGTGAAAAGATAGGAAATTTAACCTTGACCTTTGACCCAATGATCTTGGGCTTTGGTCAATTGACTCTTTGTTTAATTCTGAGCAACATTGCTTCAAAGTGTCTTAAAATGCTAATCAGTGAAAAGCTACAAAATTTGACCTTGACCTTTGACCCAGTGACATTGACCTCTGACATGATGACCTTGACCTTTGGTCAGTTGACTCCTTGTTTAATTCTGATCAACTTTACTTCAACATGTCATAACAAAATGTTCATCAGTGAGAAGATGCACAATTTGACCTGGACCTTTTAACCTCATGACCTTGACCTTTGACCTTGACTTTTAATCTCAGTATGTATTTTTGTGAACTGAACATCTTGACCAAGTTTCATGTAAATCGAACATTAGATACTAAAGTTATCAGCCAGGAACAAAATTTGTGGACGGACGGACGGACAACCTGAATACTACAGGGCTACCGCATCTTTGATGCGGGGCTCCAATTCGATGATATGTTTGATAAAGTTTTTGATTATAATGTTAATGATGTAATTATAACTGGGTATATTAATGTAGATATGTTAACCTTTCAGCCACACGCTCATCTAGGCCAATTATTAATGAAGTATAATCTAACCAGTTTAATCAATAAACCCACTAGAGTTACACCTACTTCTTCTTCTTCCATTGACGTTGTTCTAACTAACAACAATAATTTAATGAGGGACACCATTGTTCTTGCTCCTATTTGCAGCGATCATTGTCTTATTAACTTTAGTATATCATATAAGAACATAATATTTGAATATGATGGTGCTGACATCGATAGGATTAATGATAGCATTAGTAATATTGGCTGGATCTCTATTTCCCAAAATAACGGTGTAAATGAATTTAGTAATAGTCTTGTTGGATCAATAAATACGCAAATAAAGGACTATGTACCTCATAGAGTAGCTACAGTAAGACCAAATGATAAACCTTGGTTTACTAATACGATTAGATAAAAGATAAGAAAAAGGAATCGTATCAATAAAAAGCTGTTTATTATAATTCTCCTATTCACTGGGAAAGGTATAGATTAGTTCGTAATGAAACTATCGATCTTATTAGAAAAAACAAAAAAACAATGTCACATGAAACTTAAATCATCACTAATTTATAACAACCTACCTTCAGATAAGTGGTGGGAAATAGCTAAATCTCTATGAAAACTGATAATAAACAAACATGTTTTGCCCCTTTTCTATTCTCTAACATTCATTTGATAAGGCGGAATGCCTGAATACTTACTTCTCCTCAATTTCTACTTCATCAAATGATATTGATCCTCATCCTCTTCCCCCCGAACTCCATTTCAAAATTGATAACATTGTATTTACTCAACAGGACATCAAAGACCAACTTGGGATACATCTTTTAAAAAGTAGAAAAATTCACAAATGTTCCTATCAATTTTCATTCATTGGAACATAATAGCACAATCATTGAAATAATGCTACTTAATATCAACTTAATTATTGAAATAATGCTAGTTCATATCAACTTAATTATTGAAATACTGCTAGTTCATATCAACTTAATTATTCAAATAATAATGGTTAATATCAACTCAATAATTGAAATTATGTTATCCCTACACCAATGTTAAAGTTCCATTTTGATCGTCATCAAGAATATTTGACTTTGTCATTATTATTTCACCAAAGTTACCCAAGAACTTTTGTGACTGGTTTTCAGAAATGATAATTTTGAAATAACTTATTGTGTTGTACAAAATTAAACTAAAATATAATGAGTAAAGTAACGTGTAAAAATTAAGCAAATTATCTTGTTAAAAACAAAGAGAAAAAATGAACCAATAATTTCATATGACATCATGATGAAGTTGAATATTCATATATAATTCAATAGATTTATTGCTCACGTCAATTTTAAGCTAATTATTTAACCAAACTTAGTCTACCAAAACGTCTAACATCAAAGGACTTATTTGAATCCACTTCGTCACTGAGTATAAATCCATTGGTGACGAACTTAATCATGATCAGCTTACAGTTTTTAGAAGACTGTAAAGGGAATCTTAGCATATTTTAGAGTATCTCTTTTCACCAATGACGTCATTCGCTGATAACGGGTAATGACGTTACGTACGAATCCAGGGAACACAGGTCATCCTGGTCCAGGTACGTGGCTACAGTCGAGCCGGTGCTGACATGTTTCGAACTGGCAAATATAACCTTTGGCTTGCCCTGGCGAGACTCTGGACTTGCACACACACTCATCATGCTACCTCCCGTACCCATCCCTGCCGAAATGATAAGGTAATGTAGAAGCATAACGAAAAAGACGGTGCTGAATGTTTCACACTAATATAAAGCAGAAATAAAATAATTACATATACTGCTTACAATAACAAAACAGCTTGGAAAATGACAAATTCAATCGATAACCCAATTCTATAACAATTTTTCGCCAATTACAAGTTAAGTTTACTGACTTTCGTTACACTAGTCTGCACATAACTGCCATCTACGTTGATACATATGTAGCATTCATACAGTTTTGAAATAAAGAGACGGTCTCTGAAAACTCGATGAATAATTCTGCTCTGTAAGGTATCACTGCTGTGATGGTTTAAGGTTCACCAAACCCCCTATAAGATGTAATAGTCACCCTAAAGTTCAACTCCCTGGCAAGTCATATTTTAATATCCTTATCAAAAATCGGAATATATATATGTTATTTAAATATATTGATCTTACATGATACATGAGCGATTAGAAAGGTACATAACCAGGTTAACGAAGTCAAAATACGGCATTAAGGCTGAATGCTACGAAATTACATGGTATTTGAAGATCACTTATATACCTAGGTCATACGGGGCTTTATTTCTCTTTAACTATATGTGGAGAGGCATACTGGCCTCACAAGAAGATAATTATTGCAATGGGAAAGTACAACACTCAGTAAAACGTAACCTATTTTACCGGTATATATGTGTAAAGTCATAGACCTTTGAACATAAATTCTACTTAAACTTCATATGAAAGGTCCTTTCCTAACATTCAATGTTGTTATAAAATAGCTAGACTTGTTATAAACATTATTGTACTTTTCAGCTTCAATGTTTATAATCATGTCTAGCGCATTCATATGATCACAGAATGTTATCAAACGGCACATCATCTAAAGTTCAATTATCGATCAAAGTTACTTAGCCTTTGTTTTCTTATTTATAAATTGCTAAAATGTATTACCAGGGGATTTAACTATGATTCTAGTGGTTTCGTATGGCAACATCTATCTTTATTTGAGATCGGAATTCCTCTCAACAGCTAGTAGAAGAGAAATAAAGCTCTGCAAGACCTAGGTATATTAATAAAACTTTAAATTATGGGTCATTTCCCAGCACTCAGTTAGGTTGCTAAAGAGATGTTATTAGTCCGGTGAACAATATGAATACATCAGCTTTAATGCCTTTTTTTTTTTGACTTCGTTAACCTGACTATGTATTTGTTGTAAAGCCCATGTACAAGTTATATATATACAAATAACATCTATAAGTTCCTGTTTTTAATTGAGGTCTTTGAACATGACTTATCAGGGGGTTGAAAGTTCAGGTGACTACAGCATCTTTTGGGGGCTTGTTGAATCTTGAATGTGCTTTCTCCAGAGCGTACCTACCTGTGTGTGGATACGGTTGAGATTGCCCCCGTGCTTCATAGTGGACACCACCTTCCGAAGAACCATAAGCCGTTTGGTCATGATTTCTTGAACTACGATTATATATAATTTCATACCCCCCTCCGGCACCTGTATTCTCGCGTCCTGCCATGTCGTCTCCGTGACCATCACAATCAGGGGCATTACAACTATGCCTGTTCCGGGAACGTCTATTCCTACGACGGCTTGGTGGACGAATTTCTTGAAATATCAAACATTTTCTTTCACTGTAGCTATTGACTATGTACAATAGAGCTTTATACATCACATACATTATGATGATAATGTAGTTTATGACTATCAGACTGAATGTTTTAGTCAATTATCTGTAAGTTTTGTTGGTGTGTAATCTATAGATCTGCTTTGGTGTTTAATGTTAATATGTTTTGGTTTGTCATCTGTAGATGTTTTAGTGTGTAATCTGTGGATGTTGTGGTGTTTGATCTGTAGATATTTTGGTGCGTGATCTGTCGATATTTTTGTGTGTGATCTGTAGATGTTTTTTGTGTTATCTGTAGATCTTTTGGTGTGTAATCTGTAGATGTTTTGATATGTGATATGTAGATGTTTTAGTGCGTGATGTGTAGATGTTTTTATTTACATTTTCTTCTCCAAAACCCCAGAACCAATTGCAATGAAATTTTACAGAAAGCTTCCATGGCCAAAGGTCAACCAAATTTATGAATTATATGGTCCCCAGCCTCCAGGGGCCTGAGGGGCGGGGCCAAAATTGTTCAAATTGACTAAACTTTCAAAAAAATCTTCTCAAGATCCAGATATGGATAAACTTGGTTAGCATTATCAGTATTTGATAGCTGTTTCATAGTATGCACAAATCAGCCCTGACTGACCCCCAGGGGCTGATGGGTGGGACTAAAAAGGGTCGAATTGACTGAAATTTCAAAAATCTTCTTCTCAAGACCAAGATATGATAGAATCAAATACTCTTCATAGATGGAAGGATCTTAAGATGCTTTACCAAAATTGTGAATTTCATGACCCTGGGGTCTCACGTTTCCCACTGGGGAGGGGATACATTTTACGATTGTTTATATAGGGAATCACATTTTGGACCAACATTTGTTTAATTTCCATTGGATTTATTCAAACTTGGTAAGCATTATCAGCATTGGATAGAAGTTTGATGGTATGTACATATCAGCCCTGACTGACCCCCAAGGGCTGATGGGTGGGGTCAAAAAGGGTTGAATTGACTGAAATTTCAAAAATCTTCTTCTTAAGACCAAGATATGGTAGAATCAAATACTCTTCATAGATGGAAGGGTCTTAAGGTGCTTCACAAAATTGTGAATTTCATAACCCTGGGGTCTCACGTTTCCCCCTGGGAAGGTGGTAAACTTTACTATAGTTTAATTGTGAATCATATGGTCCCCAGCCCCCAGGAGCATGAGGGGCGGGGCCAAAAAGGGTCAGATTGACTAAAATTTCAAAAATCTTCTTTTCAAGATCCAGATATGGTAGAATCAAATCCTCTTCATAGATGGAAGGGCCTTAAAGTGCTTTACCATAATTCAGCTGACTGACAGAACCACTATTTGTACATAGTACATATACTACCCAGATCTTTCACACTACTTTTGCATTACATGTAGTTCAAGTTACCTTTGTTACACAATGATTTCTTTTTCATTTGGCAACATCGATAACATCAGTTTTTACATAACTCAGGTGACCGTTAAGGCCAATCAGCCTCTTGTTACCATACCTAGATTCATGCACTTTGCTCAGCAACTAAATGAACTTATGATTTAATAAACATGTAGTCTCATACTTCTTCTTACTTTCGGATTTTCGGTATCTTACCTGTAGCAAAGGCGATACCACTACATCTGTAGCATTCGCTCCCCACTTGCCTCTGGCCGTGTCCACTGGTTAGGAAGAATGAAGAATTCATTAAAAGTAAAAGGAAAGCACTGTCTTTATTCTATTTTATTAACACTATCACTGGCATTGCTCTCGTTATTATGAAATAACAGATAGCGTCACTATTATTATGTAACACAATATATACAAGAATATTTAGTTCTGCTTTATAGTGTATATTATGCAATCGTTATATAGTTGTGTCTTGAAAGAGACAACAATAAGAACCGAAAAGACAACAACAGTAATCGAAGTGACAATAACAGGAACCCATATATCAACAATAGGATCATAAGGGATAACAACAAGAACCGAGATCACGACAATAGGATCAGAAGTGATAACAACAGGAACCAATATGTAAACAACAGGATCAGAAGGAATAACAACAGGAACCGATATATCAACAATAGGATCAGAAGGAATAACAACAGGATCAGAAGGGATAACAACAGGAACCCATATGTCAACAATAGGATCAGAAGGGACAACAACAGGAACCGAGATCACAACAATAGGATCAGAAGGGATAACAACAGGAATCGAGATCACAACAATAGGATCAGAAGGGATAACAACAGGAACCCATGTGTCAACAACAGGATCAGAAGGGATAACAACAGCAACCGAGATAGCAACAATAGGATCAGAAGGGATAACAACAGGAACCGATATCACAACAATAGGACCAGAAGGGATAACAACAGGAACCGAGATCACAACAACAGGATCAGAAGGGATAACAACAGGAATCGAGATAGCAACAATAGGATCAGAAGGGATAACAACAGGAATCGAGATCACAACAATAGGATCAGAAGGGATAACTACAGGAACCCATGTGTCAACAATAGGATCAGAAGGGATAAAACAGGAACCAATATGTCAACAATAGGATCAGAAGGGATAACAACAGGAACCGAGATAGCAACAATAGGATCAGAAGGGATAACAACAGGAATCGAGATAGCAACAATAGGATCAGAAGGGATAACAACAGGAACCGAGATAGCAACAATAGGATCAGAAGGGATAACAACAGGAACCAATATGTAAACAATAGGATCAGAAGGGATAACAACAGGAACCCATATATCAACAATAGGATCATAAGGAATAACAACAAGAACCGAGATCACGACAATAGGATCAGAAGTGATAACAATAGGAACCAATATGTCAACAACAGGATCAGAAGGGATAACAACAGGAACCGAGATCACATTAATAGGATCAGAAGGGATAACAATAGGAACCGATATATCAACAATAGGATCATAAGGGATAACAACAGGAACCGATATCACAACAATAGGATCAGAAGGGATAACAACAGGAACCGAGATCACAACAATAGGATCAGAAGGGATAACAACAGGAACAGATATCACAACAATAGGATCAGAAGGGACAACAACAGGACCGAGATATCAACAATAGGATCAGAAGGGATAACAACAGGAACCGAGATATCAACAATAGGATCAGAAGGGATAACAACAGGAACCAATATGTAAACAACAGGATCAGAAGGGAAAACAACAGGAACCGAGATCACAACAATAGGATCAGAAGGGATAACAACAGGAACCGATATGTCAACAATAGGATCAGAAGGGATAACAACAGGAACCAATATGTAAACAACTGGATCAGAAGGGAAAACAACAGGAACCGAGATCACAACAACAGGACCAGAAGGGATAACAACAGGACCCGATATCACAACAATAGGACCAGAAGGGATAACAACAGGAACCGAGATGACAACAATAGGATCAGAAGGGAAAACAACAGGAACCGATATCACAACAATAGGATCAGAAGGGATACCAACAGGAACCGATCTGTCACCAATAGGATCAGAAGGGATAACAACAGGAACCCATATGTCAACAATAGGATCAGAAGGGATAAACAGGAACCAATATGTAAACAACAGGATCAGAAGGGATAACAACAGGAACCGAGATCACAACAACAGGCCCAGAAGGGATAACAATAGGTAACAGGAACCCATATATCAACAATAGGATCATAAGGGATAACAACAGGAACAGATATATCAACAATAGGACCAGAAGGGATAACAATAGGAACCGATATCACAGCAATAGGACCAGAAGGGATAACAACAGGAAACGATATCACAACAATAGGACTAGAAGGGATAACAACAGGAACCCATATGTCAACAATAGGATCAGAAGGGATAAAACAGGAACCAATATGTAAACAACAGGATCAGAAGGGATAACAACAGGAACCGATATATCAACAATAGGACCAGAAGGGACAACAACAGGAACCGAGATCACAACAATAGGATCAGAAGGGATAACAACAGGAACCGAGATCACAACAACAGGACCAGAAGGGATAACAACAGGAACCGAGATATCAACAATAGGATCAGAAGGGATAACAACAGGAACCGAGATCACAACAACAGGACCAGAAGGGATAACAACAGGAACCGATATCACAACAATAGGATCAGAAGGGATAACAACAGGAACCGAGATAGCAACAATAGGATCAGAAAGGATTACAACAGGAACTCAGATCACAACAATAGGATCAGAAGGGATAACAACAGGAAACGATATCACAACAATAGGACCAGAAGGGATAACAACAGGAACCGATATAACAACAATAGGACTAGAAGGGATAACAACAGGAACCGATATCACAACAAGAGGACCAGAAGGGATAACAACAGGAACCGAGATAGCAACAATAGGATCAAAAGGGGTTACAACAGGAACTCAGATCACAACAATAGGATCAGAAGGGATAACAACAGGAACCGAGATAGCAACAATAGGATCAAAAGGGATTACAACAGGAACTCAGATCACAACAATAGAATCAGAAGGGAGTACAACAATAACCGAGATCACAACAATAGGATCAGAAGGGATAACAACAGGAACCGAGATAGCAACAATAGGATCAGAAGGAATAACAACAGGAACTCAGATCACAACAATAGGATCAGAAGGGATAACAACAGGAATCGAGATCACAACAATAGGATCAGAAGGGATAACAACAGGAACCGAGATAGCAACAATAGGATCAGAAGGGATTACAACAGGAACCGAGATCAAAAAAATAGGGTCAGAAGGTATAACAACAGTAACCAAAGAGACAACAACAGTTACAAAGCAATAAAACGGAACCGAAGAGACAACAACACGTCCAAAGCAAACAAAACGAAACAAAAGAGACAACAACAGGTACGAAGCAAAAAAAACGGAACTAAAGAGATAGCAACGGGTACAAAGCAAACAAAACGGAACCGAAGAGACAACAACAGGTACAAAGCAAACGAAATGGAACCGAAGAGACAACAACACGTACAAAGCAAACAAAACGGAACCGAAGATACAGCAACAGGAACCAAACAATGTTATAACAGGAACCGAAGAAAAAAAAACCTGCACCGAAAAGAAATAAAAAGAAAGATAATATAAACCACTTCACAATAATTGAAGCTCTAAAAACCTTTCCTGCTCGTAATGTGACCATAGCTGTTGTAACAATTACCTGAATTCATTGCCACATTCACAGTTGTATATTGCCCAGCCCCACTCATTCTCATGTGGCACAGGGTCGTACTTTACATGGCACCGGTGACATTTCGATACCTATAACATCAAGCATTAATTGTTACAGATTTCATATAATCTGGAGATAAATAACTTTCACTCTTTAGATGTTATGTGACTAACGAACTTGTAGAATCCGTAAAGTAATAGTTAAGTATGTGCTATACCTATGTCCTGTCGAAACATTCCAAAAGGAAAATGTGAAAGTTATCACACGTTTTCCCTCGACAGCGAAGACAGATTTCAGTGACTATGACGATGTCAAATGCATTTGATAAGTTGTTCGACTATGATATTGTTTCAGTAAACTTGACTTTACCGACAACAGAGATGACTACATTAGCTAGTGGGACATAACAGAGTGTCAGTAAACCTGACTTTACTGTGAACTATAATACCATGCCAGATGATACTGAATTTAATTGAAATTATATATCTCTTAAGTAAATAGTAATTAAATTTATTGTTTTGATTCAAATAATTTGATTTTACAACCGCTTATCCAGTGTCTGTGTTTGCGTGCAATACCGCTGATAACAATATATGGTGCACGCTAACTAAATGTGACGTGGAACTTTTTAATTCCACACAAACAGATATGTTACGCATGTGCACTTGGGTATTTTGTGGCTAATATGATGTGTTGATTTTAAATTATTGAACACAGATCCTGCTTCTCCCACAACTACAATAGGTTTCGCCACTTCCAACTCGTAGAATAAACCTGCTGGGAGTTGGGGAATTATTTTGGTTACCCTGGACTCTGGACGTTATTTCATTGTTCAATCTCCTAATTGTGACGTCAAGTAACAATGCTTTGCGACGTCATCTTCCATTGTGACGTCACAGTTTAATGGCAATTGCTTCCCTGATCAGAAACAGGAATAATGTATTTCTGAGAGAAACATGGTTACATAATATCAGAACAGTATGGGAGAATAATGTCTCTAAACTCGTGAAGGCTGATTATCATGTTTATCTAACTCCCATAAGTGAATTTTAAAATTGTAAAATACCCTCGGTAAACCTCCTGACTTTATACAATTTGAAAATTAACTTACTCGAGTTAGATAAACATGATAACCAACCCTTACGCGTTGGGGAACCTCTAGGTATACTGCGCAGGATAGCAGAACATGCAATACAATCATGCAATGAGAAGAGTGAAAAACAAAGAAAATGAACACAATAATAAGATAGCATGCCTGTTTCCTACTCGGTACTCTCCGCCACCAGAAGCGGTCGCATTCTTTACAGGCGAACAGTCGTGTCTCTGCGGCGACTCCATCAGCTAGCGCCCTTGCTATATTCGGATCACACTGGATGTCCTTTATTTGATCCTTTAACATGTTGCGCACAGATAATAATTGAACATGGCATGCATATATATGAATACTTGAACATTCTATCACTGTTATGGTAATCATAGCATATTGCCTCACACGATGTGTTAATATAGAATTAATTAAATCATAATGATTTTCAAAAGAATTTAGATCAATCAAAAATTTATGATAAAAGTAAAAAGACAAGATTCAATCAATTGGGTTAGATAATATAATGTAATTTGACATCCATTTACCAGAGCATTATGTCTACCTGATTACCCAGACCAGTTATAATTGGTAAACTGTCTAGGGAAATGTGACCTTCAATTACTGTATCCGACGACAACAATTTATAACACGACCGCTCCTGAGGTCTGTAAGACAACGTGTCATATTTCTTATTCTAACACGATTCGTTTGCAACGCGTGTTTTGATTGGATACGGACCATGTTCTAATATGCGATAGAATCATGATCAATCATGTTAAGCTCCTCCCATCGCACTTAAGCCACGCCCCGTTTCTAACAAAAACAATATGGCGTCAAGCTCGCCGCATAGCGAAAAAAACGCTTATAAGGCAAGTAGGCAACAGAACAGAAACGACCGATGAAATGCATTTGTTGAATGAATTAAAAATTAAAAAGAACACATTCCTTGTTCTTACCTCCATTTATTACTGAAACGGTCGTTCCATCCGTGTGAAGGCATCTATTTAGATCCGAAATCAAATCAAACATTTCACATGTGTCGTATCCATTTACACAAAACTCTTCACAAATCTATACGACTAATCACCGATTTTGTCGATAAGCACAGATTGGTATGCATACTGACATGGAAATGTAAGAACTTGGTCAATATTAATCCGAATGTGTCGTATAAACTTTGGTAACAGGACGTTCACGAACAATCCAAATATTCCGCGTCGTCAACATACAGATCGAGCTTCTTTCCGATTGGTCAGTCCGTTGCAGAATGACACGTCGCCAGTTCAGGTCATAAAGTACTTTTGTACACGGAAATACAATGTTTCTAAACATATATGCGTAGTATATTTGTTAAGGTGTGTTAGAATAGGGAAAGTACGTTGTTTTTCGTGTCTATACTGGCGATTAGAACATGAAATTTGGTTTAAACTCTCGATCTATCGGTCTCGAGTTCAGACCCTAATTTCATGTTTTAATCGCCAGTATAGCCACTCAAAAACACAAGAAGTAACACGGTGAACCCAAACAGAACACAAAGAGAAATACGGTGGATCCAGACAAAACAGAGGGAGGAACACCGTGAACCCAGACAAAACACAGGGAGGAACACGGTGGACCCATAAAAAACACAAGCAGGAATATTGTGGACCCAGACAAAACACAATGAGAAATACGATGGACCCAGACAAAACACATGGAGGAATACGATGGACCCATACAAAACACATGGAGGAATACGATGGACCCATACACAACGCAAGGAGGAATACGATGGACCCAAACAAAACACAAGGAGGAACACGGTGGACCCAAACAAAACACAAGGAGGAATACGATGGACCCATGCAAAACACAAGGATGAACACAGTGGACCCATACAAAACACAAGGAGGTATACGATGGACCCAAACAAAACACAAGGAGGAACACGGTGGACCCATACAAAACACAAGGAGGTATACGATGGACCCAAACAAAACAAAAGGAGGAACACGTTGGACCCAAACAAAACACAAGGAGGAATACGATGGACCCATGCAAAACACAAGGATGAACACGGTGGACCCATACAAAACACAAGGAGGAACACGGTGGAACCATACAAAACACAAGGCGGAACACGGTGGACCCAAACAAAACACAAGGAGGAACACGTTGGACACATACAAAACAAAAGGAGGAACACGGTGGACCCCAACAAAACACAAGGAGGAACACGTTGGACCCAAACAAAACACAAGAAGGAATATTGTGGACCCAGACAAAAGACTATGAGGAATACGATGGACCCATACACAACACAAGGAGGAACACGGTGGACACCCATACAAAACACAAGGAGGAATACGATGGACCCAGACAAAACACAAGGAGGAACACGGTGGACCCATACAAATAACAAGGAGGAATACGATGGACCCAAACAAAACACAAGGAGGCATACGATGGACCCAGGCAAAACACAAGGAGGCATACGATGGACCCATAAAAAACACAAGGAGGAAAACTGTGGACCCAGACAAAACACAAGGAGGTACAAAACACAAGGAGGAAGACGATGGTCCCAAACAAAACACAAGAAGGAAAATTGTGGACCCAGACAACACACAATGAGGAACACGATGGACCAACACACAACACAATGAGGAAAACGATGGACCCATAAAAAACACAAGGAGGTATACGATGAACCCAAACAAAACAAAAGGAGGAACACGTTTGACACATACAAAACACAAGAAGGAATACGATGGACACAAACAAAACACAAAGAGGAACACGATGGACCCAAACAAAACCCAAGGAGGAACACGTTTGACCCAAACAAAACACAAAGAGGAACACGATGGACCCGGACAAAACACAAGGAGGAATACGATGGACCCAGACAAAACACAAGGAGGAAAACGATGGACCCATACAAAAGACAAGGAGGAATACGATGGACCCATACAAAACACAAGGATGAACACGGTGGACCCATACAAAACACAAGGAGGTATACGATGAACCCAAACAAAACAAAAGGAGGAACACGTTGGACCCAAACAAAACACAGGGAGGAATTCGATGGACCCATACAAAACACAAGGATGAACACGGTGGACCCATACAAAACACAATGAGGTATACGATGGACCCAAACAAAACACAAGGAGGAACAAGGTGGACCCATACAAAACACAAGGAGGAACACGGTGGAACCATACAAAACACAAGGCGGAACACGGTGGACCCAAAAAAACACAAGGAGGAACACGGTGGACACATACAAAACACAAGGAGGAACACGGTGGACCCCAACAAAACACAAGGAGGAACACGGTGGACCCAAACAAAACACAAGGAGGAACACGATGGACCCATACAAAACACAAGGAGGAACACGGTGGACCAAGACAAAACACAAGGAGGAATACGATGGGCCCAAACAAAACACAAGGAGGAACACGATGGACCCAGACAAAACACAAGGAGGAACACGGTGGACCCATACAAAACACAAGGAGGAATACGATGGACCAAAACAAAACACAAGGAGGAACACGATGGACCCAGACAAAACACAAGGAAGCAGACGGTGGACCCATACACAACACAAGGAGGAACACGGTGGACCCAAACAAAAAACAGGAAGAAACACGGTGGACTCATACAAAACACAGTGGGTAACACTGTGGAACAAGACAAACAACACGAAAGGGACACGGTGGACCAATACAAAACACGAGGAGGAACACGGTGGACCCAAACAAAACACAAAAAGGAATATTGTGGACCCAGACAAAAGACTATGAGGAATACGATGGACCCAGTGGACCCATACAAAACACAAGGAGGAATACGATGGGCAAAAACAAAACGCAAGGAGGAGCACGGTGGACCCAAACAAAACACAAGGAGGAACACGGTGGACCAATACAAAACACAAGGAGGAACACGATGAACCCAAACAAAATACAAGGAGGAATGCGATGGAACAATACAAAACACAAGGAGGAATACGATGAACCCATACAAAACACAAGGAGGAACACGTTGGACCAATACAAAACACAAGGAGGAACACGGTGGACCCAAACAAAAAACAAGAAGAAACACGGTGGACTCATACAAAACACAGTGGGTAACACTGTGGAACAAGACAAACAACACGAAAGGGACACGGTGGACCAATACAAAACACGAGGAGGAACACGGTGGACCCAAACAAAACACAAGGAGGAACACGGTGGACACATAAAAAACACAAGAAGGAACACGGTTGACCCAAACAAAAAGCAAGAAGAAACAAGGTGGACCAGGACAAAACACAAGGAGGGCCAGAGTGGACCCCTACACAACACAAGAAGAAACACGTTAGGCCAATACAAAACACAGCGAGGAACACTGTGGAACAAAACAAACAACAAGGAGGAATACGGTGGACCTATACAAAACACAAGGAGTAATACGGTGGACCAATACAAAACATAAGGAGGAACACGATTGACCCAGACAAAACACAAAGAGGAATCGATGGACCCAAACAAAACAGAAGGAGGAACACGGTGGACCCATACAAAACACAAGGAGGAATACGATGGACACAGACAAAACACACGGTGGAACACGGTGGACCCAAACAAAAAACACAAGGAGGAACACGGTGGACCTATACACAACACGCGGGAACGCGGTGGATCCTTACAAAACACAAGAAGGAATATTGTGGACCCAGACAAAAGACAATGAGGAATACTATGGACCCAGACAAAACACAAGGAGGAACACGATGGACCAATACACAACACAAGGAGGAACACGGTGGACCCATAAAAAACACAAGGAGGAATACGATAAACCCATACAAAACAAAAGAAGGAATACGGTGGACCCATACAAAACACAAGGAAGAATACGATGGACCCATACAAAACACATGGAGGAATACGATGGACGCATACAAAACACAAGGAGGAACACGATGGACCCAGACAAAACACACTGAGGAATATTGTGGACCCAGACAAAACACAATGAGGAACACGATGGACCCAGACAAAACACACTGAGGAATATTGGGGACCCAGACAAAACACAATGAGGAACACGATGGACCCAGACAAAACACACTGAGGAAGATTGTGGACCCAGACAAAACACAACGAGGAACACGATGGACCCAGACAAAACACAAGGAAGAAGACGGTGGACCCATACACAACACAAGGAGGAACACGGTCGACCCAGGAACACGGTGGATCTATACAAAACACAAGGAGGAATACGATGGACCCAAACAAAACACAAGGAGGAATACGGTGGACCCATACAAAACACAAGGAGGAACAC